ATTAATTGGATGAAGAAAATAATAATGTCTTGCAATTAATCTCTCAATAATTGTGTGTTATACAATGAAAATAATAATTTTATTTATATGGAATCCATAAAACCCTAAAAAAAGAAATTAAACTCTAAAAATAACAAAATATATCAAAAAAATAGAATTTTAACTAAAATAGAAGATTGCATGAATTTGGAAAATTTGTTACAGGAAATATACTATGCGGACACATAGTGTAAATCTATGCGGTCGCATAGACTATCTGAGCTCCTCCACTTTGGGTTCAGTAAAGGGGCATGCGACCGCATGCCCTGAACAACTATGCGATCACATAGTTGTTCCTTCCAGCTTCTCTATCCATTGCTTGAATCAAGTCGTTCCACCTCATTTTATTTTACATCCCCAACATGAAACTTATCCCTTCACTTGCCGTGATCAATGTTTCGTCTACCGTGGCTTGAGGAAGTAGTATCATTGCTTCTTTGACCTCGCTAGTGACTTAGTCATAGGCTTCCTCAACGATCAATGAATCATTGCCCAAACTTTCCCTCGTATCATGGATCACATCATTATCTAATTATATTATTTCTGTTTTTATGTGTATTACGTAGTTAGTTTTGTTTAAGATGAATAAATATTCAAGTTTTGGGGGTGTTTGATAGGTGTAATTTCTATACCTATTCGGGCCATCGAAAGTAAGTATGTGGAAGTTAAATTGAATGGATTTCTACTTAATTAGGTTAAATATCGATGATTGTAAAATATATTCAAGTTTGGATGGCTTTTGATAAAAAGAAAGGTGGAAATTGACTAAAGAAGGAAAACATAAAGAGTTCCAAAGTTTGGAATTATATCGCAAATATACAAAAGTTAATTTAGACCAAGAAATAAGGATCTAAGATTGCATGAAATCAATTTGATGAATTTAGAAGATAAAAGATTGCAACTACACGAAAAGCATTAAAGAATAAAGAGGAAGCAAAGCAAGGACCAAAATGAACATCGTGCAAAGTTAAAGGAGTGCGATCGCACCACATAAAGGGTTGCGATCGCAATCCCTCAAATTTAGCCAATAGAATGCAGGCCTATTTGCTTGTGAAATCGTAGGTTGTATGCATGTGCGATCGCACATGTATAAAACTATGCAAACGGCTTTCTTTAATTGAAACTTCTTATGAAACTTTGGACATAATTCTTGGCCTAATTTCAGCCTCTATAAATAAAGAACTTCCTCCAACTAGTGATGGCAATGGGGCGGGTTCGGTGCAGGGCACCCTCACCCCACCCCACCCCACCCCGCGCCGTCCCGCGCCCGCTCCACCACGCCACTCCCTCTCCCTGCCCCCACGTCCCACCCCACCTTAGACGGGGTGGGGCGGGGCGGGGCGGGTAGGGGCGAGGACTTGCCTCGTTTCCTGCCCCATTTGTTTTTTTATTTTTTTATTTTTATTTAAAATACAAATTCAAAATTTTAAAATTTAAAGCAAATAATGTTTAAACTAACTATATCAATATCCAAAGCAATCACTTGAAACAAAAAAATGTCCAAAATAATTTTTTTTTTAAATTCTTCACGGGGCTGGTTCGGGGCGGGGTATCTCCACACTGCAACCCGCGACGGGGCGGAGAACCTCGCCCCGCCAACCCGTTCGAGGCGGGTTTTTTTGCCCCATTCGGGGCGGGGCCCTACGGGGACGGGGCGGGGTAGGGAAAATTGCCATCTCTACCTCCAACATTGCAAGACATCTCTTATATAATACAATACATAAAATCTTACAATGAAGTGAGGCCAATTAATTGTTCTTTTGGGAGAATTCAAGAGGCAAGATACAAGAAATCAATCATTTGACGACCCCGTTTATTTTTTTGACAAAAAAGTGAAATGTGTAACTGGAGATCAATCAAGAAACTATTGAAGAGATTCAAAATTCCGTAATTCACCATCTTTTTCTTCATATATCTAGAATCTGAGTGATGTCTTACAAATCAAACGTGAATTCTTGTAACTTTGTAATGGTAAGCTAGTTTTTCAGTTGCTAAAACATAGATACCCTTGTTATGAATTTTTAACTCCTGTTTGATGACCATTATTTTGAGAAAATTGAGTTTGAATAATGATTTTTTTAGAATGTGTGGTTAAAAAGTATGGAAGTTTAGAGTTTATGTGCAAAATATTTTATTATGTAATGTGTGGTTAAAATCGAGTATGAAAATTAAAGAATTTTGAAATAAAGGTTGTCAAACAGGGGTTTAATGTAATATTTAATATTTTGACACCCAAATAGGTGTTTAGTCTCGAATGATTGTTCTAGGTTTAAAGTTTTTCAATTACCTTATCAATAATTGGATTGATGTATGAATTTTATTATATTCGAAAGAAATAATAAGATAGATAGAATGTTATAGTAATCGTCGTGAGATCCAATAGAAGATATAGATATACCCTATGCATGATTTCAATAGAGGTCCGATAGAGAACATAGTTATATTTCAATAAGAATATAAAAGAACAAAGTCAAAAAAGGCAAATCTCTAACTCAACGTAAGTTATTCACTTCACTTTTAACTTTATTTTAGTAGCAACCTCAGTCACTTGCTACCTTTCGAAAATGGAAAAGTTTTAAGCTAAGAGTTAAATCGTGAAAAATTTCTACATGGAGGTATGGTGAATTGATTGAGTCCCTTTTTAGTGTAGATAAAAATTATTTTTTTGTAAATTTTAATAAAAGTTGATAAAATATATGATTAAAAATTCTTTGAAAATTATGAATTCGATAAAATATGTGATCAAAATTAATTGTTAATTTGATTAATTTTTTTGTCAACCTTTTTAGCTGCATCAAACTNAAAATTTCTACATGGAGGTATGGTGAATTGATTGAGTCCCTTTTTAGTGTAGATAAAAATTATTTTTTTGTAAATTTTAATAAAAGGTGATAAAATATATGATTAAAAATTCATTGAAAATTATGAATTCGATAAAATATGTGATCAAAATTAATTGTTAATTTGATTAAATTTTTTGTCAACCTTTTTAGCTGCATCAAACAAGCTAAATAGAATAAAATTCAGTGATTGGATTGAAGTGAATGAATTGTAGGCCGGTGATTGATTATTTATGTGGCTTATCTTCTTTGGATAGATTCCTGTAATTTAGTAAGGTTCAGAGCATGGTACCATGTCCCATCACTCACAAAAATAAATGGCTCCGCTCATGTCCAATCAGAATTTAAATATCCTTTTGCGAATGTGCGTCGGGAACACTCGGATGAAAAGAACGGGTCCATTTAGCATAAATATACATTTTCAAGATATTTCATTTTCCATAAAAACACTTTTTAAATTGTAAATTTGACCTTGAAAAATTGATACAGTTAATTCACTATCGATAGCCCAGTTCATACAAAAAAAGAGAGTGATGGTAATGTTTACGCGTCTTGACTTTTACTTCTTTTTAAGCAAGGGAAGATCATTAAGCACATTTTTTTAGACTCATTCTCCAAAAATTCATTTTTCATTAAATTCATTTTTAATTTTACATTCTTTTAATAAAATAATTTTGCATCTAAACTAAATTTTTTTTACTTTTTAATTATATATTTTAAAATAAAATTACTATTACAAAATTTATTTCCTCGAAACAGGGCTAATTAATACGATACAGACAACAGTTTGGAAAGTGTTATGCTAGAGTATGCATACACAAAATGGTACAAGCACGCTATGGGTATATCACATTCAGTGTGGTGTATAAAAAAATAAAGGGTGTTATAGTATGCATGTGCGCTATATATAACCCCTTGTTTGAGCTCCATTATCTAAAATTTCATTTTTTTTTTCCCAAATTCATTTTTAATCACACATTCTCAAATACAATATATCATAGAGAAATCCAAAATTTTTTTCTTACTTTTTAATTATACATTTTCCAAAAATTCACTGCTACAAATTTATTTTCAACAAAAATGAGGCTCAACACATGGGCATAATAAGAAAATGCATGATGACATGTATCATTAGACATGGATCTGTAATGCTAAAGAAGAAGTTGAAATATTATTGTTCATTCCAATCGAGTACTACTAATAAATAATGCTCAAAACATATTTATTATCGGGATCCTTGAGTGTATTACAAGGTTAAGCTTGCATAAGATTAGAGGAGATAGTATTAGGTATTAATGTTAGGATCGAGTTTCAAACATCTCATTTGAAAATCAATTGGTGTCAGATGAGGACATATATTCGATCACTTTTGAGCGATCCAACCCATGAATTTAAGAGCAGCTTATTGCAGTCCAACGAATAATTAATATTATGGTTGATTAAAGTGAATAACATTTATAATATTTGTTAATTAAGGTGGATCATATCAATAAAAGAATGCTTTTTGTACAATCTTTTTAATCCAACCTAAACTCACCTACTCATTTTGGGTTTTGTTATCCAGTTAGCTTAAGTTCTGAATCAAATTGTGATTCGGAAATCTCACACCTAATTTCTTCCCTTCTATATTCTTTTACATCATATTTGTACATTAAACTAGACAATACTGAACATGATTATAAAAAAAAATGATTATCTTGTTTGCACAATACCGATTGATACTCACCCAATCAAGTAGCACTACAGCTATATCTTACAAACCAGCAAGTCATCTTTTGAATTCAAGACATTTTTATGATCTTGTACAGTGTATAACTAATTAGCCCCTATTCAAGACAACTATTATTTCAACTCTTTAATTCTCATACTCATTTTTAACTACTCGTTTATATAATAAAATATTTTGCATGTAAATCCAAATATTTTTTCTTACTTTTTAAACCCACAATCTACAAAAAGTCATTATTCAAAATTGCATTTTTTTTCAAAATAGTGACTATCAAACATGGGCTTAATAGTGTACTGAACATATTTCATGAAGAACAAGCCAACTTTCTATCAACTTGCAGACAAGCACTTTTTCATAAATTACCATCCAAGTTATTTAGATGCAATAAGAAAATGTTTGGCATTTTCGTCTCTGTCCTCTTCCTATGTCTACTTTTCTGCTTCTTGAATTCAATTCCACGGAAATTTAGGAAATCCCACAAGTTCTTAGGCCATGGTCCGACTTCATACCCAATGATTGGATGTATGATCTCTTTCTACAAGAATCGACACCGTCTATTGGACTGGTACACCGATCTCCTCTCCTGTGCACCCACACAGACGATCTCAGTATCCCGACTCGGTGCTCGACGTGTCATTGTTACAGCAAACCCTAAAAATGTAGAATACATTTTGAAAAAAAACTTTCACAACTTCCCAAAAGGCAAACCCTTCCAAGAAATTCTCGACGATTTTCTTGGAAATGGTATATTCAATGTGGATGGAGATCTTTGGTACAACCAGAGGAAGCTAGCCAGCCAAGAATTCTCTGCCAAATCCTTGAGGGATTATGTTGTAAATTCTCTCAAAGAAAAAGTAGACAAAAAATTACTTCCATTGCTGGAATCAGTGGCAAATGACACTAAAAAAACATTGGATATGCAGGATTTGTTAAGAAGGGTCACATTCGATGTTGTCTGTAAAGTTTCATTAGGGTATGATCCATGTTCTCTGGATCATTATTTTCTGCAAGATTCATCTCCCCTTGTTGAAGCCTTTGACATGGCATCAGAGATATGTGCAAGAAGAGGTGCTGCACCAATGTCTGCCTTATGGAAGGTCAAGAAATTCTTTGGGGTCGGGTCAGAAAAGAGACTTAAAGAAGCCATTGTGCGAATCCACATATTCGTGGAAGATATAATTCATGACAAGAAGAAAAAATTGAGTGAAAGTAGAGGAGGAGGAGGAGGAGATGAGCAAGATCTTTTATCAAAAATGATATCAGGTATGTTGGCCGGATTTTTTTTGCATCACGATTCATACATAATTTCAGGAATGGTTGATAGTGAGACTTGAACTTAAGACTTGTGCCTACTACGCTTCCATAGAATGTTAAATTATGTCATCTGAAAATACTTATACGATTAAAATACATTTATTTACTTATATTTGTCTCCGACAGGTGGCAATGAGGAAGATTTTACAAGAGACACGTTGATAAGCTTCATCATGGCAGGGAGGGACACCACATCGGCGGCAATGACGTGGCTCTTTTTTCTATTTTCATGCCATTCCGATGTCGAACAAGAGGTGTTGAAGGAATTAGGGTTTGTTGTTGACAATGATAATGAAAAGTTATCACAATATGAGAACTTGAAAGAATTGAGATTCTTAAAGGCTTGCATTTGTGAGTCAATGAGGATGTACCCACCAGTTGCATGGGACTCAAAGCATGCTATTGCCGATGACGTGTTGCCGGACGGCGTCGCAGTCCGAGCCGGAGATAGGGTTACTTATTTCCCCTATGGTATGGGGAGGATGGAGAATTTGTGGGGAAAGGACCGGTTCAATTTCAAACCGGAGAGATGGATATCTGAAATGGAACATGGAAGAATAAAGGCATTAAAGAATGTGTGCCCTTACAAGTTTCCAGTGTTTCAAGCCGGTCCAAGAGTTTGTCTTGGTAAAGAATTGGCTTTCATTCAAATGAAGTACATTGTAGCTTCATTATTGAAGCCGTTCAAATTCAGACCGGCTTCCTCTGACCGGCCAGTGTTTGTGCCACTTCTCACCGCGCACATGGCTGGAGGCCTTAAAGTATTTGTACAAAAAAGATAAATTTGTAATACATATATGTTTTGTTGCAATATTTAGCTTTTGCTTGATCTTCATTATTTTCAAAATATATTTTTCTCTCTTATTTTCAATCACATTCTTCAATAAAATAATATTATACGCAAATTTAAAACTTTTTTTCTTATTTTTTAACTATATATTCTCAATCAAAATATTATTTTAAAATACATTTTGTACAAAAAAAAAAATTAGGGCCGAAAAGGCTCTAAGTTTTAGAGCACAATATAATCAATAAAATTTTTACTTCATTTTATTATTTTATCTTATCAAGTGGAATATTTCAGAACAAGTTGTGTGGCGATAAAAACTGGTTAATTAATACCCTTGTGATCGACAAAGGTTTAGCAAAATTTCACGTGAACTTAAATTTTATGTGAGGGGAGTTTCAAACTAGTTGTACACAAAAGTATACATCTAGCATTACTCTATTCGCATAACGTGACAACTTGACTACCAACTAAATTGTCACATAAGTTTTTTCATTAATCAAACGAATGGACATACAAAAAAAAAAGTAAAAATAAAATAAATTGTAACAAAGTTTAAATTTAAGAATAAACTTGATATAAAATAAAATTTAACGAACGCTAAAAATTTCGGTGAGAACCCGCGTTTATAACTCTAAGAAAACCGTGTTGCGAAACTACTAAAGTAAAGCGTGTAGGCAACGCGGGAAACCATGTGCTGCCACAAGACTTGGTCAATCTTAACGAAGATGCACTGCATTCGGTCGGTCGATTAATATACGCTCCGTTTGGTAGAAATTAAGCCCCTTTGTGACAAATCAATTTTTTTTTTGGGTAGAAAATGAAGTTTTGAATGATAATTTTCAGGAGAATGTGTAGTTTAAAAGTAAGAAAAAATTTTGAAATTACCTGTGGAATATTTTATTGTGTGAATGTGTTGTTGAAAATGAGTATTTTAAAAAAAGAGTTCCAAAAAAATGAATATCAAACAAGGGTGAAAATTAAAATTCTAATCTAAGTTAAAGTCAACAATTAATTTTATTGTTGTGTTACATGCACATAATAATTTATATAATAGTTTATCAATAAATGATATAGCGAAATTTAATTGGATCAAAATCTCATCAATCAAATAATTTCTCCACTTACATTTTAACACATCATCATTATGTAAAACGTTATGTAAATAGTTACGTACAAGAAACGTTTTCATTAATTTTAATTATATATTTCATGAGATCTACAACTTTTCAGCTATACATTTCTTTAACTTTTATCAAAATTTATTTAAAAATTTAATTTTAATCTCACGAAACAGGGGCTAAGTGCACGCGTCGATGGTAAATTTCGTATTTTGTGTAGATGTTAAGCTACATACAAAATGAATTCTAAATAAATTATTTAAAATACACATGTTTCTAGACTCGTATTTGAAAAAGCAAGTGAGATCCTAAACCTAAATACTATATAAATTATTAAAATACACATGTTTCTTGTCTCATATTAGAAAAAGCAAGTTAGATCCTAAACCTTAAGTAACTGCTATCTAACTACTAAAATCATCAAAAATTACGTTAAATCGTCATATAACCTAGACATGACCAACTTTATAAAAGACGAAATTATTAAGGCGAAATTTGAAGGACAAAACTTTTAATAAATAGCGATTTGTAATCTTTCATATAGTTGGTTGTGTTTGTGTGGCACCATATGACCAGTGACGGACCCGGGATTTTGGGTCAGCACAGGCGGCCGTGAATCGTCGACCGTTGTCAGCAATAAAACATTAAGAGTCTCGTTTGATGCCTTTTTTTTTTTTTTTGGGCAAAAAGTGTATTTTGGAATAGTGATTCGATAGAAAATATGTGATTAAAAATAAGGAAAAGTTTTGAATTTGAATGTAATATTATTTGATTGAAAAAAGAAAGAAAAATGTATTTTGAAAAAAAAAAAGAACCAAACAAGGTCTAAAATTTAAATATAAAAATTATTTTGTTCAAACTGAACATATATAATTTTTTATACAA